GCGGGGGCGCGCGGGCCAGAGCTCTGACGGGTGTCCGGTGCTCATCTTGCAGCAGAACCCCTTGGTCTCCAGATGTCAGTTTCATTTATTTTTTTAAGCAGAGGGAGCCTTGTGGTGGAAACTGGGAAGGTAATTTCTGAAGGAACGTACTTTTGGAGATAAACAGACCTCTTAATAGCAAGGTGGTGGTTCTAGTAAGCAAACATGAAATGAGGAAATAGAGGCAAAGTATATATTTTAAACCTTTTCTTTTTCTCTGGTTGTTTATGTGAAAGAAGAGTGGAATCAGCACACTAAGCATCTCTAAAGATACAAGAAATAGCTCTCTGGTAACAGCACCAGGTAACCTTGGCGATGCCCTTGTAACTGCGAAGTTCCCAGTGTTTCTGAGAAAGAAAGAGGTTTTAAAAGTGTTTCAGGAACTTCTGAGTCTGGAGGGTGATGGCTGCTGCCAGAATGGGAATCTACCCACATCCCAGCCAAACAAGTTCACAAGCAGGCTTTGAGGGTCACTAGGAGGGAGAATCCATGGCCTTAGCTTCAAATTGAGAAAGAAAAAAAGACATCAAATTGCAAAAGACCTTCCTCCACGACTGCCAAGGACTTAGGAGAAGCACAGGTGCACCACATCTGTATAGAGAAAGTCTAACACCATCCACTAATATGGAACACAGGTTCCAAAGAATTGATCAAGGGAAGAGATTTGGGGGTACAAATGAGAGGAGGTGACAGCCTTGAAACTCCTTTCTTCTTGGGAAAAGTCAGATTTTTTTAAAAAAAAAAGTAATGTCCTTTAGAAGCCTGGTGGGGAAGTGAAAGAAGGATGTGAGAAGGTAAAATTAAAGAGAAGACAGCCAGTCACTCCCCAACCACCAGCATTATCTATTAAAAACTGTACATCACGTCACACACACAGAAAACTCTTAGAAACCTGCCCCAAATGTGCTCTAGAGCAGAAAACCACCAAGTCTATTTAAAAAAAAAAAAAAAAGCCTAAATGCAAAAAGGAAACAGGAAACTAATCAAACTCCTGATGGTGGAAAAAGGAATCATAACATTTCGACTGATGATTTCCCTACCTCAAAAAAAAAAAAAAAAGAAAAAGAAACATGAAGCAGAAGAAAAATGTAACACTACACAGCAAACTGAACAAAGCGCCAGAAGTTTGGACACAATATATGCATACAGGAGTTTAAAAACTAAGAACAAACTAGAGAAAAGTTAGAAAGCAGTGCAATGAATGTTGATCAAATGCAAGAAAATAAAGACAAAAACGATCCTAGATACAAAGAATATTTACAAGGCATCTGAGGGAGAATTCATTCAAATGAAAATATGTAAAAGGGCTTTGAAGAGTGGCAAGAAAACAATTAAAGTAAGGTAAGTAAAAAGGCCAACGATGGGAGGGTGAGGCAGGAGGATTGCAATTTTGAGCCAGGTTGAGCTACTCAATGATATAAGAGACCTTGACTCAAAATAAATAAATTTAAAAGGACTGGGAATATAGCTCAGTGTGAAGACCTTGAGTTTCATTCCCTAGTACCAAGAGGGGAAAAAAATTTAGGATAGTAATAGCCATTTTTATTTTAGGCAGTGTCTTCCCACCGTAGTTTAGGCTAGCCTCAAACTCATAGCAATCCTCTTGCCTCAGCCTTCCAAGAGCTGGGGTTACAGGCACCACTACACCCAGATATCGAATTTCTTAAGAGCAATATAAAAAGCAGGACAACAGTGTTGTCACATTCACAAGGAACTCAAAGAAAGAAAGTACCAGCTAAGGATTTTTATATCAAGCCTCCAGGCATCAAGCCTATAGGCAAAACGATATGATCTGAGTGCAAAAATTCAGAGACCATACACATGGGCCTATCCTGAGGACTCTCAGAGAAAGCACTCCTTCCAACCAAGAGCTAGCAGAGGACACCAGCAGATGACTACTGAGTAGCATTTTGTATATTCAATGGCTGGAAGATACCACAGCAGCTCTTCATAAAATTAAAAGTAGAATTACGGTGTGATCCAGCAAGTCCACTGCTGGGTGTGTATCTAAAAGAATTGAAGACAGGAAATCAAACAGGTATTTGTATACCCATCTTCACAGTAGCATTTTCCACAGATAATGACTAAACAAAATGTGGCATATTCATACAGTGGAATATTATTCACCCTTAAAATGAAGGAAATTTCAACAGATACTACAGTATGGATGAAACTGGAGAACTGATATCGAGCAAAGTAAGCCAGACAAAGGGAAAAATACTGTGATTTCACTTATGTGATGTTCCTACAGTAGTCAAAATCACAGGAACAGAAATAATGGCAGTTCTTAGAGGGGAAGCAGAATGTCAAAGTGAGAAGATGACAGAATTCTAGAAGTGGGCGATGGTAATGGCTGTAGAACAGTGTGAGTGTACTTGATGACACAGAAATGCACACTTAAAAATGATTGAAATGCTAAATTCTTATTATGTGCATTTTATCACAATAAAAAGTAATACACAAGGGCTCGGGGTAAAGCTCAGTGGCTTAAGCGCTTGCCTGGCAAGCCTGAGGTCATGAGTTCGATTCCCAATACGAAAAAAACAAAACAAAACCACACAAATAATAAATTGGAAGAAATTCCCACACTCATGGGCTAGGGATATAGCTCAGTGGTGTGAGCACCTGCCTGGCAAGCACAAAGTCGTGAGTTTGATAGCTGGTACCGCAAGAAAAGAAAAAGAAATTCCCATACTCATGGATAAAGGGAGTAATATCCCTGGTATATAAAGAACTTAAACACTAAGGGAAAAATAATTTAAATCCCATAAAATGGGCAAAACCATAAACAGGAAATTCACAGTAGAAATCTAAAAAGCGTCCATAGCATATGAAGAGATGTAGACTTCACTCTATTTCAAATTAAAACTACAAAGATACTATTTATCACCACAACACATTGGCAAAAAATCAAAAGCTTGATGAACAGCCTGTTGCCAAGGCTATAAAAAAGAATAAGGCAGACTTCTGTGAACGGATACAGAGTGATTTCCTGGATATGTTATGAAATGAAAAAAGCAAAGTGTCATACACATATATAACATGCTACTTTTTATATGAGAAGGAAAATAAGAAAACATAAATATATCTTCTTGTTTTAGCAAAACACACACTAATGATAAACCAGAAAGCAATAAACCAGTAAGGGTGGAAGGGAAAGGTGGAAGTGATGGGAAAAGGAGTAACTTCTCTGACTATACCATTTTTCTTTGTTTAATGCAAACATGATAACAGTCTACATATTCAAAAAGCAACATAGATGAGGGAGGGGAATAAAATGGAATCCAGACATAAAAATCTGAATTCAAATATGTTGCAATGAATAGCATAAGAGGGATGAAGGAACTAATATTTGTAATGTTTAAACAAAGTACTTCCAACAGGCATGGTAGCTGTAATCCCAAAACTCTGGGAGTCTAGGGCAGGAGGATCACAAGTATAAGACCAGTATGGGCACCTTAGCAACTAAGTGAGAACCTATCACAAAATAAAAAATTTAAAAAATAATAAACTAGGAGTGTATCTCAGCACAAAGGCTCTGGGTTCTACATATTCTCAGTTGAGGGAATAAATGAATTTTTGAACTGTTCTTTAGGTTTTTAATGAAGTGTCATGGACATAACAAACTATTTTATGTATCATGTGTGATTGAGCAAACCAGAAATGTACTGTTTTGGGGAGGTACGATTTCCATGTGGAAGATACGGAACAGGGAATGCAAGAAAAATTTGCATAGATCAGATTTGGAACTAGAGGAAATGGTGAACCATCTCTCACATACACCCATGTTCACATATATGTGCACATACAAATATAGGTACACACATATACTACTGTTTCTTAGACCTGTCCACTCAAAGAGCCTAGTGAGGCACCCACAGCACCAAGTAGGCCTTGAATTTAGAGCCTGGTTTCCAGATATTACTCTGTGTTCTCCACTCCAAAAGGATTCCACAACTGGGGCCTAGAAGGTGCTGTATGAGCCTGGAACATCTTGTCATAATAGATGGTAAGGACAAGCAGAAAGAAAGAGAAAATGAGAGCAAGTGTATACGACATTAGACACATCAAAGGAACACATCCCTCACCTGGGCTAAATCTAGGACAATATGTGCCTCCAAATAAACACTGAAGTTGGGCATGGTAATCCCTGCTCATAGTTCCAACACTCGGGAAGCTGAGGCAGGAGAATCACCATGAGTTTGAGGCCAGTCTGGGCTACATAGTGCATTCAAGCCCAGCCTGAACTACATAGAGACTCTGTCTCAAAAAACAAAGAAAGAAAACAAAAAATAAGTTAAAAAAAATAAAAAACATTGAATAAAATAGGAATCTATGAGTCCATACTGATAATAAGTAAATAATAAAAGGGATCTTTCTTTCCATGAATGCTAGTAGATACAAGTGCAGAGAAAGCGAATCAGCTTTTCACAGAAAGCCACAGTAAAGATTGATTTGAGGTGCCTCATCAATGACCCTAATCATTGGCAGGGATTGATGGGAAGTCTACTTACATGGGATCCCAAAGTGTTTCAGAAGAATGTTTAGTAGTTGCTGGGGAAATTAGTAACTACTAGAGAAATGACAGCATGTGGCCAGACTTTCAAAACTGGCATCACTTGTGGGGGTCAGATGGACATCCTGTGTCTCCAGAGACCCTGGGAGGGACATCTCAGCACAGTTTTAGCACTCTGCCCAAGGCTATGTGACCTGAATTCAGTCATGAAGGACTAAGGGAGAAAACAGCATCCAAGGACATTGTGT